CCCTCCCCGCGCCCCGCCAGCTGCGAGTCGCGGCGCCCAGACTTGTCACGTCGCGTCGGAGAAATCGGCCCCCGAGCCGCCAGGGGGTCCCGGCTAGGAGCTCCGAGCCCGGAGTCGCCTCGGTTCCCGCTGTCCCCGGGGCGCGCGCGCAGGTGTGAGCGTGCGAGGGTTTTGTGGAGGAATTCGTGCTCCCTAAAACTGCAAGCCGGGGCGCCCCGTCGGCATGGACACCCGTGCCTTGACCCTTCCTTTATGCGACCGCAGGTCTGAGCTGTCTGGCCTCAGTTTCCCTCCGACTTTCTCCTCTCCGCGAGCCCAGACTGCTACCCGTCATTGTTCTCGCTGTCAAGTGGGGGTGCTTCGTGAAGGCTGTCGAGTTGGGGTGTGTTCTCTTTATCTCGTTTTTCAAACAGAGTAAGGCATCTACTGCTGACCCTGGACGACCCGCCCCCTCGACCTCCACTTTACGTTGTTGCACTGATTTTTTTCTTTTTGAGTACTATTTTATTGTACATGGGCCACGCCCTGGTTTCTTAAAGGCGCCTTGCACACTTTGGCGATGTGTTATCGCTGCAGCTGGTGTGTGGGAGGCCTCCTGTGAGCCACCTATTTTCCCGCCTCCTGATACTTCCTCCCAACCTCGTCAAGGATTCAGGAATGCCAGGGGGGAAGAAGGTGGTCGCGGGTGGCAGCAGCGGTGCTGCCTCAACTGCTGCTGCTGCCCCCTCTGGGGTCAGACGTTTGGAGAACAGCGAAGGAGCCTCAGCCCAGAGAGATGACGAGCCAGAGGAGGAAGGGGAGGAGGACCTGCGAGATGGAGGCGTCCCCTTCTTTGTCAACCGGGGTGGGCTGCCTGTGGACGAGGCCACCTGGGAAAGGATGTGGAAGCACGTGGCCAAGATCCACCCGGATGGAGAGAAGGTGGCGCAGAGGATCCGTGGGGCCACGGACCTGCCTAAGGTGAGGCCTGGGGGGTGGGCAGCAGGATATCTAGGGTGTCAGTGACCGTGGGGCTCAGAGAGCAAAGCCACACTCTCCTCCGATGGGGTAGGGGACCACTGGCATCGTAAGATCAGAAAACAGAGAGGTCATACGTGTCCAGAAGAACTTTCTCTCTACTGCTGTTAAGGTCATTCTATGAGGGAGGGTTACACTGCATTCTCCCAACAGATGAGAAAGCCGAAAACTCAAGTAGGAACTCAAAGTCCCACAGCCAGTAAGTGGCAGAGCTGGGACTCAACCCCAGATCTTCAGGTTCCAGCTCCTCTGCTCTGTTTGGCACTAGATTCAGGGAAATTAGAAGAGGTCCTATGGTGAGGGGTAAAGTTAGATAATTTCCCGTGTTGGCTAGAACTCCTCCACCACGCCATCCTTCGGTTGTCGCCCACGAAGGCAGAGGCTTGTCTCATTCATCTTTGTTTTTCCAAGGCCTCCTATGTGCCTTTTACAGAACAGGCACTTATGTGTGTTTGCTGAATGAAAGGGTATTTGAGACTCTCTGTGCTGTACAGTGCTATGTGGAAATACATGGCCAATATTTAAAAACAAACAAACAAAAAACATTATGGTTAAGACTAAGGAAGCACTATTCCAAACGCAGAGGCCTGAAATCCCCAGAGCAGAGCCCTTTGGACAGAGGTCAGAGCCCAGTGCTTAGTCCTGCCTGCTCAGGTGGGAAAGAATGGCAGTTAGTGTGGATTAGACCTGGGGACAAGTGGCCTGTTTTGTTTTTTACCAAGTTTATTGGTAGAGGCATCAGAAAATGTCTTCTGAGAAAATAGAATTAGAGGTTGAAGGCTGAGCAACTGCCTAATGTTTCCAGAGGAAACATAATGTAGATTGATTTTGAATGGCTGCGTAATTGTCCTCTGCACTGCCTGATAATTTATTTAGCTAATTCGCTACGGTTAGATATTGTTAACAATATTTTATTCTTAAAATGAACACGGTGGTAAGCATTCTGAAACATAAATTTGAGATTCATCTCTGATTATTTCCTTGGGATGAATTCCTAGAAGAGAAAGTTGCATCGAAGAGATGGACATTGGTAGCCTGACCTTAGGCAAGCTCCTGCCCCTACGGTTAGATATTGTTAACAATATTTTATTCTTAAAATGAACACGGTGGTAAGCATTCTGAAACATAAATTTGAGATTTATCTCTGATTATTTCCTTGGGATGAATTTCTAGAAGAGAAAGTTGCATCGAAGAGATGGACATTGGTAGCCTGACCTTAGGCAAGCTCCTGTGGCCTATTTGAGCTGCAGTTTTCTCATCTTAAAGTGGGATTGATTGTGTCAGGCCGTAGGAGAGTGTGAATGGTTCCCTGCAGAACTGTCACCACTCCTAGGGACTAAAAAACAAAAAATCAATTAGCTCATTAGCGACTGGTCTATAATGTCATCTTGTCATTTCCAATTCTCATGTAGAGGGAAAACATCAATGAAGAAATTAAATTATTATGGGGGAGAGGGAAGGGTTGTGACTGACAGCAGTATGGTAGGGTGGAAAGAATTTTTGAGAAGTCTGGGAAAATTTGAAACTTCCCCTCCTCAAACCATGGGAAAAGTGTCTCAGATAGAGAAACCACATGCATCTACATGAGTTCCTCTTCTGCTTGGCCCTAAGTAGAAGGGAGCCCTCAGAGTCTGGAAGGAGTGGAGGAATCAGGAGGCCTTGGGGAAAGCAGCGCTGGTTGATGGCCAGCCACTGGCTCGCCCCCTCCCAAGTGGCCAGGCCATTGAGGCTGGCACAAAGGCATTCTCTGCAGAGGTCACACTGTGGTGGGCCCAAGAAGTGTTTCGTTGGGATTGCACAATGTTTTAAAAGACCACCTGAACCAAAATTAAAAACTGGGAGATTTCTTGGACAAAGATCCAAATTTTTGGCATCTTTTCAGAAAATGAGAAGATCTGGGAACACAGGATCTACAATCTCACAGGCAGCTGTCAGCTGGGGCTGAGGAGTGGTTTCCCCTCCCCCGGTGTGCCACAGCCCCCACCACTCACCTGCCCCATTAGCCACTTGCAGGTGATTGAGTCCAGAACCCCTGCAGAGTAGTGCTGGAGTCAAATCCACCAGGCACAAGTCCGACCTCTCCCATAGCTACTTACATGAGGAAGGTATGGAACTGCCTTGAGTGTCAGTTTCCTCAGCTGTGAAATAGGGATAATAGCATGCCCACTTCAGACGGGTGTTGAGAGGAATTGATGTATAGCATGTGATGCTTCATTAGTTGAGAGTCTGATAGGTATCCAGTAAATGGAGCTTCTTAGTGAGTCTGCAGCAAACCACCCCATAAGCACTTTGTAGAAACAGCCTTTACAAGGACGATGCCAATATGGTAAAGGGCAGCAGTTTCAAAGGGTCCCAAATTTAGCAACAATTTATGATCCTTGATAAGAAGCTCTTCTTGGGGTTTCAAGCTGCCACCACCTTCAAAAGCTTAGTGGCCACATACCCCAGACGCAGCTGCTGAAGGTCTAGCTTTGACTCTGGCCACTGCACTCCTACAGAATGAGATTGACATTGCTGGGTTCAGCACGTGCTGCCCGATACCTTCGGCACACACTAATAACAATGGCAGTGAGCAGGAACTGAGCCTTTGCTACGTGCCAGACCCTGTTCTAAGGCCCCAGCCTGCACCATTTATGTATGCTATGAGGTTAGTTCTATTTACAAATGAGGCATCTGAGGCACAGAGAAGTTAAAGAGCTTCACTAACATCACCAGACCATAAATGGCAGAGACAGGATTTCTAGAGTCACTCTATTAATCTCTAGGCCATAGCGCTTCCTGCCTGCTGGGCTCTACCCCCCTCCCCGAGCCTCACTGAGCTACACAGAAATGGACCTCACCAGTGAGAATGTCTTAGCAGAACTCGGGACTGTAGGAGTTCCTGGAGCAAGGGTAGCCTTGGTAGTAGAGGAGCAGCTGTCCCTGAGGAGATCTGGGGGACTGATATTACCCATCCCCACTGTACCCCACTTAAGCCCTCCCCTCAACAATGTGGAAGTATTCCTGGCTCCAGTTCCAGGTAGGGGTTGGGGACAAACCCAGGCAACCAGTTCTAACGTGGGCCTGGTCATGTGGACGTACAGCATCTTTCTTGTTTGTGTGTGAGTGAATGTGTCTGTGCTTGTGCTAAGCACTCAGAAAACAGGTGTAGGCGCTGTCTGCAGGGGGTAGCACGAGTCAGGAAGCTGTCCCGACAGCTCCTTCCAGCCTAGCCTTGTTGATGGTGGCCTCTAAGGCCCTGCTTATGAATCCTAGGTCTTTTTTTGACTCTTTTCCTTCTCACAGAGCAGCTGGATCCTGGGTCCTTTGTCTGGATGGCAGGTGCTGATGTTTTTGTGTGCCTGACCAGCTCTGGGTATGTTCAGGCGAATGGTTCTTGGGCTCAGCTCCCTTCCTGTTTGGAGCTCTTCCTGAGAGGTTGCACATACAGTCCTTACCTAAAGCTCCTCGGGCCACTTAACAACTGGGGATGATCTGCCTGCCCCACTTGCCTGCAGGGACTATACCTGAGGAGGTCAGGTGACTGGCTGGACCTGCATAGGAAGTTGCTAAGAAAGTTGCTAAGTAATTCCTCTAATTCCTCTCCCATCTCCCCACCCCCATATCCTTGATACCGATACCTGAGGAGGTCAGGTGACTGGCTGGACCTGCATAGGAAGTTGCTAAGGAAGTTGCTAAGTAATTCCTCTAATTCCTCTCCCATCTCCCCACCCCCATATCCTTGATACCGGGAGGCCAGGCCAGGCCCTCAGAGAGTTCTGGAGCCCATTTGGCGTAGAGTGGTAAGGCAGGAAGAGGGGGAGCCCCTCTCCCCTGGGCTTTTATCCTGTTGGTGACTGTCAGTGGTGGCACCAGTTTGGGGAGGAAGAATGATGTGAAAGAGGAAATAGCTTCCTCCAGATGGAGCCAGTGTGGTTGCTAGGGACAGCCCAGATGGGAAGGAGAGGACCAGTGAGGGAGGGGGAGAGAGGAAGTTCATGCAAAGCTGTCGCCAGACCGGAGGCCTCTTCCTCTTGCCTCTCCATCCTGTGAAGAGAGTAGGTGTCTGTTAGATGTCCCCCTGCCCTCAGCAGCACCCCAGACACGAATGTACAGAAATAACTGGTATGTCATTTCCGTCCCTGTCAGAGCCCCAGCCACTGCAGCCACATGAATTAAAAGGCAGTGCCCTCTGGGCTCGGTGTCCCCACCACTGGGAGAGCCTCCCAGGGAAAGGAGGAAGAGAACTGGGTCCTTCCCCCCCCACCCCGCCCTACCCCCTTCCCTTCACACATACTCCTGACATACAGGCTGGGACTCAGCAGCCCCAGCCAGGTGGGTGGGCTCTGTGTGGCCTTGGAGGGCCAGGTGGAGGCCTAGGAGGGCAGAGGGTGGAGCCTTTCTGTGTGAGGAGCCTGAGATCACCTCACAGCTGGCTGTGCCCAGAGGGGTGGGCCTTTCCTTGGAAGTCTGTTCTGAGACCCCAGAGGACCCTAGCTGACACATTACTTAGCCTCCTGAGCGTCAGGATTTGGGCTCCCCTGGCAGGAGAGGCACCCACATCTGTGCTGTGGCCTCTTTCCTGGAGAATGCCTGGTGGCCAAGGGACAGCCTTGGGTCTGCTGTCCTGACCTGACTCCGGTCAGCACACAGCCTGTTGGTTCCCAGGCATCAGGAAGCACCTGCCATTCTGGTGAGTAGGATTGTCTGGTTGTCCGGTTACCTGTCCTGCTTAGGCAAGGAGCTGGGGGGAAAGGGAGGTGTTGAAGGAGAACCCAGGGCCCCATTGTTTCTATGAAACTCCTCCTAAACGGCTAGGCCCCAGCAAGTAGGGCCACAGCAACAGCTGTTCCAAAATATGTCCCTCTGGCCTGCTCTCGCTGACTTACTCCCCAGACAGTTCAGGTTGGTGCTCTGGAAGGCCTTATAAATGTGGCCATGATACTGGGGTGGGTGACACCCCCTGCTGAGGACACGTTCATCCCTTCCAGGAGAGGATGAACACTGGGTAAACCAGTTTTGATCTAGCACTTGAACCAGACTGGACCCCAAACCCAAATGAACTTAACCCCAACATTGCCAGTCTTGTTAAGCCTTGAAGTTGATGAATATTTAAAATTAAAAACAGTAGATGAATCAACCTGTTTTTCTAAAAGTATTAAAGAAGCATAAAATTGGAACATCAACATAAACTCCAAATTTGGAAAGTCATCAAGTGCCAGGAGGGAAGGAACGGCTGGGATGGGGCCCTGGTAGGAGCAGCTGGAACGCAGGTTGTCCCTTCTCAGGGTGTGGCTCCTCTGGGGGCAAATCCTGGGTGTCTGGTGTGCTGGAAACTCCGGGGTGAACCTTCTCTTGTGACCCAAGCTCTTTCTCTGTCCCCAGATTCCCATACCAAGTGTGCCTACATTCCAGCCGTCTACGCCTGTCCCTGAGCGCCTGGAAGCCGTGCAGCGCTACATCAGGGAGCTGCAGTATCCTCTCTGGTCCAGGGTCACGGCCACCTTCTGGCTGGTGTTATGTGCCCAAGGGCCAAGTGGGGCTTGTTTCCAGACAAGGCTGGAGAGTCAGCAGAGCTTCCTTATCCCACAACTCCAGGGGTGCCATTCACATGGCATCTCTGTGCTCCCTGGAACCTTGTCCCCTCTGGGTGTCTGCTGTGTGCTGGACCCACTCCAGCCTCTTTGCTACCTGCTTCCTCCTGCTACTGTGTGATGGGGTAAAGAGGGAGAAATGTCTCCTGAGTGACTCACTGGTGGGTTGACCAAGTCTGGATCACCTCTATCATCCATCCAAACCTGCAGAGGAAGAGAGAGGAAGCTCCCTTGGGGCTGGTGAAAAACTGGTTTTAAAGGAGGATTGGGGGAGAAGGGAGGATGAACAGTATTTTATGCTCAAGGAGATAAGTTCCTCATCTTGGAATTTTCTCCCAGTTCTTTGGCTTTCCTTCCCTGGCAGGTCAGCTGCCTAGCATGGAAAGAGCTGGGCTCTCATGAATCCAGGTTTGCCTGTGTCCATGCTCTGGCCCCCTGCAGCCTCTGCAGCCCTTGCACCCTGTCCCAGAGCTGTGTGTGTCCTGGTCTTTTCCCCCAGCCCTCCTGGCTGCAGATGAGGTCAGAGGTGGGAAAACTAGACAAGGGTCCTGAGTAGGGAAAGCCCTGGCTGATAGCTGAAAATCGGGTCCAGCCCCTCCCCTTGCAATGGTTTTCCCCCAGCCCTCCTGGCTGCAGATGAGGTCAGAGGTGGGAAAACTAGACAAGGGTCCTGAGTAGGGAAAGCCCTGGCTGATAGCTGAAAATCGGTTCCAGCCCCTCCCCTTGCAATGGGGAAAATGTGGGCCAGTGAGGGCAGGTGGTTGGCTCAGGCTTTCCCCCAGCCCTCCTGGCTGCAGATGAGGTCAGAGGTGGGAAAACTAGACAAGGGTCCTGAGTAGGGAAAGCCCTGGCTGATAGCTGAAAATCGGGTCCAGCCCCTCCCCTTGCAATGGGGAAAATGTGGGCCAGTGAGGGCAGGTGGTTGGCTCAGGAGCACCCCGCAATTAGAGGCTGAGCTGGACCCCCTCCCCCAGCCTTCTCCTCGCAGTTCATGTTGCTTCTCAGCTGGTTGGAAAATGAAGGGCTACAGAGAGCTGTCCCCACCCAGCTGCAGCTTCTTCCCCAGCCCTGGCCGAACTGGCTGCCTGCCCCATGTCTCCCGTCCTAGGAAGGGAGGCCAGGGAGAACGAGGGTGAAAGCCAAGGAGGGCGAAGGAGAAAGACAGAGAAGGGCATGTGGAGGAGAAGCCTCTCCCCTGCAGGAGACTTGAGCATCCTCCCAGGTGCCACCTGGGACGCACTTGGTGCGGTCCTTCCCCAGCCTGCAACACTGGGAGTGCTGGGCCCCTGGGGCCTGGGGGATGGTTGGGAGGAGAGGGACAACCTGTTTCAGACCAAGCCAGGAAGCCCTTAACTGGTGCCCACAGGTACAATCACACAGGGACACAGTTCTTTGAAATTAAGAAGAGCAGACCTCTGACAGGGTAAGTATGGGAAGGCCCCATTCCTCTGTCTGAAGGCTGGGTCGGATCCTCTGTGGTGTGCCTTTGAGTGGAAGCTTCGAGCAGGCAGGGACTCTCCCGATGGAAGCCAGCCATCAGGGACAGATACCACCCTGGGATCCTAAGAATGTCATAAGGAGGGAAACCTGGCTAAGATGAACAGCCAGGGCTACCTTTATGGAAAGAAAACCCCGACGCTCATGCTGAGCTGGTATGGTAGCGGGCAGTCACCCAGACCCCCAGCCTGACCTGATGGAGATAGAGGGTGGTCCCAGGTAGACTGTCTGTAGATGAGCCTCAGATTTTATTTTTTTTATTTTTTAATGAAAGGTGGGCCTGGCGGAAGTGAGCCCTTCACCCATCTGTCTGTTCCCTGCCTGTGCACTCCCCATTGCAGGGCACCTGCGTGGTCACCCCATTTGCCTTACTGGACTCTGCTGGTCATTTGTAGAAGGTCCAGTGTCTGAGCAACAGGAAGGACTCCACCAGAATGTTGTATCTTTCACTTCCCATCCCACCACTCAGTGTGTACACCCCTGGCTGGATACGTTTGCTTAAGAAAGTTTCTGCCAGTGAAGCCCAGAGGGCAGAGGAGAGTAATTAATGGGGGTGGGGTGAGGGTGGGGGTGATGGGGGGTGTCAGCCCAAAGATGCCCACAAGCTTTTAAAAATTAATGTGAACTTTACATCTTGCTACACACATAATCTATGTTTGCTTTCTTGTGAAAAATACTTTAAATGGTTTATTAGCAAAATTACCTAATTACTTCCTTTCCAAGTCCCTGGGTGTAATACAGCCTCCCTAACCTTAGTGCTTTGCTCTTGTACTGTGGCTGCTGTGTGTTGGGGGCCGCTCAAGCCTCATTTGGGGTGGAGGAGTCTAGACACCCTCCTGGACAAAAAGTCAGTGGCCAAGCTGAAACCCCAGGCCCTGGGGCAGCACTGGGGAGGAGGGAGGAACCAGGACTCAGGGATAGGCTGTCTTAAAATGACCTTAATTCCAAGTTCAGGAGCACATTGGGGTTCACCAGGTGGCTCTTGGCCTGAGATCGCACATCCAGACCCCACTATGGGGGAGCAATTGCAGTCAATTTGCAAGCTCTTCAAAGAAGCCATGTTCAGGGGTGTCAGAAAGAGATCAATGCTGTGCTCTAGAAGAGATCAAAACCAAGGTCCCCACCTCCTCCCACCACTGGCTGTCCAGGTCCTGCCCGGGTTCCTGCTGCCCTCCCCCAGAGGTTACTGGAGCAGGAGCTTGGTGAGGGAGTAGGAAGTGAGAGGAGAGAGGGGAGGGAGAGTGGGCCTCCTTCCTTATCACCAGCGGCTGCCTCTTTCCCCAGCCATGCAGGCTCCAAGTGGGGGTGTGGGGGCGGGGAGGTGCTGTGCCTGAGAGGGCAGTTTGCAGGGGAAGGGGAGGGGTGGGGGGAGGAGCCCTGCCCCCTCCTGACTTTCCCCACCGGAAGGGACTGGAGGTGCTGATCTCAGCCTCGTCTCTCTTTCCTACAGGCTGATGGACCTGGCCAAGGAAATGACCAAAGAGGCTCTGCCAATCAAATGCCTGGAAGCCGTGATCCTGGGAATGTATCCTTCCTCCCCTTGGGAGGCCTGGGAGGGGCCCCTATGGGCCTCAGCTTCCTGCTGTGAAAGGGGAGGGCTGTGTGAGGTCCAGGGCTCTCCCAGCCCTCTTCTATGCAGTCATTGCCTGGAGGTGGAGGAGCCCCCAAAGGTCAAGGAGCCTGGGGAGGCCCACAACCCAGTTGCTGCCTTCCTGGGCTTGCTGGGTGGCTCTTTACTGAGTCATGTGGACACAGTGACCCTATTCTCTGAACCCTGAATCCGGGCACATTGCCTCACAAAGGCTGTTGTGTCATTTGCAAGAGCCAGGCCTTCTGGGAGAAGCTGTTGGGATGCCCAAGTGTTGGCGTTTCTAGGACATGGTGATTTATGGAGATGATGGATGGGATCTTTGAAGCAGAGCTGCCTCAAAAAAACACAAATGGGGTTTCTCAGTCATCCTGCCAAAGGGCAGAAGTGGAGCCTATAGCCGGGTCACTAGGGTAGCAGGAGGTAGCCAGACAGGCCCCAGGAGAGGCTGCCCTGCCCAGTGCCCCCATGCAAGCGAGGGGGAGGCGAGGCAGGTGCTCGTGGCTGGTTCTCTATCCCGAGTGGTCAGCACCAGAACCCTACTTTTTTTAAAAAAAGTCATCTTATTTAAAAAAATTGTTAAACTTGTTCAGACGTAGACAGGACAATCTTATGAACTCCCAGTGCACCTATTCCTCAGCTTTGCCAATTGAAGGCCAGTCTTGTTTCATCTCTTCCCACTCCCCCATGTTCCCTGCCAGTTTAAGCATTTGTCTGTCACCCCAGGAATGGGTGGCCCGCATGGCTCAGTGCTGCAGAGGAGCCCAGATGGTGAGGGTCAGGAGGGCAAGGTGAGGCTACCTCATGGGACAAGGAGGAATCTGTTCCCTGGGACAGGCCCCAAGAGGAGGAGGGCCGTGATCCGAGGGTCGCTCCCCCACCCCTCACATAGACATACGTGCCTTAAGTTCACACAGAGAGGCTGCGGGTGCCCTCCTCCCCAGAGGTCCTGAGAGCTAACTCCACCACTGGGACAGTCACATGCTGACAGGACAGGCCCATTTACACGAGCCCGAGCTGCATTGCCCTGCTTGTAGTGTCCTTTGTTAGGATGAGCATTAGGCCAGTTCCGTACCTCCTCATGACCCCACATTCACTCTCCTTCAGGGGCCACACATCAAAGTGGAGGCTCCTGATGACATCGTAGAAGGGAGACAGCTCCCTTCTCCCCCGAACACACACCCGAGGCATTTCAGGGGTTGACTGGTGGCTTGTGGGCAGGAAGAAAGCAGGAGCAGCCCCCATCTGGGTGAGGGATCCCTCTCCTGTGTCCCCACAGCTCCCGCAGTCACTGCACATATGTTGGGCGCTATACTGAGTTTCTGCCTGTGTCTCATCCCCACTGCACTCTGAACCTCTGCAGGGCAGGGCTGCATTACCCATCTCTATCCCTGATTCCTTGGTCACCCTCAAGGAATCAGGCTCAGTAACTGTTGTTGGAATGAGTTTAGCACTGGGAGGAATACGGTAGTATCTGAGAATACAGGCTTTGGGTCAGGCCGACCTGGACTTGAATCCTGGCTCTACGGCTTACTCACCATGTGACCCTTGAGCAGGTTCCTTAACATCTCTGAGCCTCAGAGTCGTCCTTTGCAAAAGGGGATAATGGTAGTGCTGTCACAGAGTTGTTAGGACAACTGAGTGGGTGCGTGCATGTAAGACACTTAGTGCAGCCTCTGTAGGTGGTATCTGCTCCATGCTTTTATCCATTCATCTCCTTGTACCCATTTATCCAAGATGAGTTTTACTGAGTAACTGTTATGTGCCTGGCTCTGTGCTGGGCCCTGGGGAAACAGTGGAGAACATGACGGACAAGGTCTTTCTCCTCAGGAAGTTTACATTCTAGCTGGGGAGACAAGCAAGCAAGTACAGACTGCGCCTGTGGTGGTGAGTGCCGCGGAGGAACAAGCCACGGAGCAGCCCTGCTGTAGAAAGGGAAGTGGGCCATGCCCGCCACGCTGAAGGCCTGCAAAGGAGCCGGCCAGGTGGCAGTGGGGCCAGTGCAGCGTGCTCCGGGTAGCCGGGCCGGTGGTATGGTGTGGGCTGGGGTGGGCACAGTGCTGGCCTCCCAGGGCCTGGCATGGGCTGGGTTTAGTTGAAGGGCAATGGTTAGTATTTGTGTTTGGGGGGCGGTGGTGAGAGGAGAGACTGAGCAGGACGGTCTGCATCTGTGAGGAGCTGTGTGAATGAGAGAACGTGTCCAAGAACGTAGCTGAGGGGAAGTGCCCAGCCCCGTGACTGGCAGGGGCGGCGGGAGACAGGAGGAGGCAGGCGCCTGTCATCCCTCCCTCGGCCGCAGTAGCGGCGTCAGGTCTTAGTGTTTTGTGAGCCCTGCTCGACCTCGGGGCAGCGACCACTGATCACCGAGAGCCCCGTTCCTATAAAGGGTCACTGTGCTGAGCACCTGCTGTGTACCGGGCTGGATGCTAGATGACAGAAGGACGGGGACGAGCACGCGTGGTGTCTGCACTCGGGGGCCACGTCTGGGGCCCCTGGGCACAGCATCTCCCAGGGGTGGGGGCCGTCGCAGCCCCGGTCCCGTGTGCCGCCGGCCCCTGCGCCTCTCGGGGCTCTTTCCTTAGCTCTGGGACCGGCCAGTTACCTCACCAACAGCATGCCCACCCTGGAGCGCTTCCCCATCAGCTTCAAGACCTACTTCTCAGGGAACTACTTCCGCCACATCGTGCTGGGGGTGAACTTGGGCGGCCGCTACGGCGCGCTGGGCATGAGCCGGCGCGAGGACCTGATGTACAAGCCGCCCGCCTTCCGCACGCTCAGCGACCTCGTGCTGGACTTCGAGGCCGCCTACGGCCGCTGCTGGCACCAGCTCAAGAAGGTGAAGCTGGGCCAGTGCGTGTCGCACGACCCGCACAGCGTGGAGCAGATCGAGTGGAAGCACTCCGTCCTGGACGTCGAGAGGCTGGGCCGCGACGACCTCCGCAAGGAGCTGGAGCGGCACGCGCGCGACATGCGGCTCAAGGTCAGGGGCGGGACAGGGGAGGGGCGCTGCTTCCTGGGGGGGGTCACTCCTCCACGCCCTCACCCTGTGCCCCCAGCCCCAGCAGAGATGGCGTGGGGACTAAGGGAGAGGACAGGTGTGAAGCTTCTGCTCGGTGGTGGGATTGTCGTAGGCCCCTTAGGTGGGCAGGCCGGGGAAGGCTCCCGAAGGAGGAATCGGGTGAGCTGGGTTTGGGTAGTGGTAGGTCTTGGACACGTGAAGAAGGACAGGGGTGCGGTACTCCAGGTGGGGGAACTTTAGTAGGAAGCATCCCTTGGTGGGAAATCGTGGCCTATCTATCTGGAGGGAAGGTGGGGTGGGGGGTTGAGCAGCTTCCCCATCCCCCAGTGTATGTATCCCAACTCTTGAGCCACCCCTTCCCCCAGTCCCCTGCAGCCAATAAAGGACTAGGAGAATGTCAGAAGAGTGAGCCCTGGGTAAGACAGTAAGGATGGTGGTTTTTTCTCCCTCTTAGATGAACAGGAGTCTTTGGGAGCTGGGGTGAGGGTGTTGTACCCAGAACAGTTGGGCTGATCTGTTTAGGAACTGGCCCCAGAGCCTTCCAGCAGGCAGAATTTTGGCCTCTGCCTGGGTCCCCCTAGACTGGGGGGTGTTCATCCCCTCCCCATCACTCAGTCATTGCTGCATGGTGCCTCTGCCCCTCCAGGCAGCCTGACACCCCCACTTCAGCCTCCAACCTGGGCACTTGCCTGTCCACTGCTTCTCCTGACAGCCCCAGGAGGCCAGCGAACAGTAGGTGGTGGCTCCATTTTCAGGGTAGGAAGCCCTGAGACTTGCTTATAGACAGTGAGAGGCACGTGGGACTGGAGCACAGCCTCCTGATGGGGAATCCGGGCTTGTCGCTGGTGCCTTGAGGGTGTCCTGGTAGGGGTTTGCAATAGCTAGGGCTGCCCTAGGCCAAGACCTTGCAGATGATGGTGCCTTCCCTCAGAGCACGTGGGACTGGAGCACAGCCTCCTGATGGGGAATCCAGGCTTGTCGCTGGTGCCTTGAGGGTGTCCTGGTAGAGGTTTGCAATAGCTAGGGCTGCCCTAGGCCAAGACCTTGCAGATGATGGTGCCTTCCCTCAGGACAGGAGCAGGCTGCAGTCAATCCTGCATTAGAGAGCGGCTACTCTCTTCTGCTCCGGAGCTGATCCTCCTTGTCTAATCATGGGTCACCCACCCAGCACCCTGGCTCTTGCTGCTTGGAGTATTATTGTCTTCGAGACAGCAGATTGTATCTACAGTTGGAGCCAGTAGTTACCTGTGATTCCCAACCTACTCAGGGCTAAGGACTCCCCAGGTTATTTGCCCCTCTCTGGCACCCCACGGTACATTCCATGTTTTGAAAACTCAAGTCAAGCTGACCGTGCTGCATAAAGGACAATTCATATGTTTTTCTCATTTTTCTTTGAATCAGAGACAGAGCTGCCAGTCTGACTTCTGATTGGCTCAAGATAACCAGTGTCACTCTTGGGGTTGGTTGGATCCCAGCTCAAAGCTAAGACATGGGCAGGCCACTTCCTGAACTCGCATGTTTACCTGGTGTGGGTTAAGGGGCCTTTTCTTTGAGAGCTTTTTACAATATTATGACAACTCAGTGACTTCCCCCCATTTCTGTGCTACCTTCAGACCCAGTGGGGATTGGGCAGCCCTGCTGAGGTACTCCTGCCTTGGCAGCTTTAGTGCATGGGAAGTAGGTTTGGAAAGACCCTTTGGAAAGTTTGAGGCTTCCCGGGCCCTGCTCAGGCAGCTTCTGGCAGGACGGTTGGGCTCTGGGGCAGCCTGGAACGATGCTCTTGTTTCTTTCTCCCCACCTAGATTGGCAAAGGGACAGGCCCTCCCTCTCCCACCAAGGACCGGAAGAAGGATGTTTCCTCCCCGCAGCGGGGCCAGTCCAGCCCCCACCGCAGGAACAGCCGCAGCGAAAGACGGTGAGAGATGGGATAACCCTGGGTGGGCCCAAAGAAGCTTTTTTCCTCTCCTCTCATCTTCTGGGTCCCTCTCTCTTTTCACCCCTCTCTTCTCCTCTCTCTCCCCTTCCCTCTTTTTTTGTTCCCACCCAAGGGAGGTGGTTTGGACCAGTGGGTTTATGTGTTGACATGTCCCACAGCAAGACAGTCCCATTTCCGGACAAAACAGCCCTCAGCAGGCCCACTGGTTCCTCTGTATGGAGCCCTGGTGCTGGGCCAGCAGGTCCATACAGAAGGCCCAGCTTGTGGCAGAAAGGGTGATGTGGGAAGCCAAGGGAAGAGGTGGGGCCTGAGAGGCAGTGTGTTCTCCCAGGAATGTCCCTGGCGGGGAAGTGGGGGAGGGGCTGAACATTAAGTGGTGGCTGTATGTAGCCTGGGTAGATAGATGGTTTTGAACATAACAGAAGAGGTGGGGCCTGAGAGGCAGTGTGTTCTCCCAGGAATGTCCCTGGCGGGGAAGTGGGGGAGGGGGCTGAACATTAAGTGGTGGCTGTATGTAGCCTGGGTAGATAGATGGTTTTGAACATAACTTTCCCCCAGATGGTCTGTGGTTTTCGTCTGTATCTAGATGGCAAAAACATACCATTAAAATACCAGGCCTTGTCCTATGATTTCATCTCCTACATATCAGTCTGGCCCTTGCTTTAAATATAATTGTCATTGTGGAGCCACCTCTCTGGTATGAATTAAGGGTACCAAGCAGGCCTCTGGCACCAAAATATTCATCCTCACTGCCTTTGATCTAGGAGGCTTTTATAGAGGACAGATTTCCCTTGGAGAGGTTTGTACTTGAAGCTGTTACCCTCAACTGTGGCCCAGTCAGCCAACCTGCAGCGAAGAGCAAGAGCCTGCAGGAGAGAGCCAGGGACCACACTCAGGAGAGGACAGGCAGGCCAGGGCTTCCAGACACTCCCTTCCTCATGTGCTCTGCTACTTGCTGGAGGGCCCCTGGAAGGTTGGAGGGGGAGCCCGCAGGGGCAGCTACAGCTTGCTCCCTCCCGCTCCAGCTTACTCTCCCCCTGCTCTGCTCTGTTCCTCCCTGCAGGCCCTCGGGTGAGAAGAAGCCTTCCGAGCCCAAAGCCATGCCAGACCTCAACGGGTACCAGATCCGGGTGTGAGGCGGGAGCCAACACCCTAGGCCTCCCCTGCCTCTGGGGGCCCAGACCCACCTGCTGGAACCAGCCTTGCTCATGGGCAAGGAGGGGCTGGTGAAGGGGCGGGCAAGGGGCTACAGGAAGAGTGTTTTGCAACTCAGCTTCCCAAGCTGCTCCCCGTCCCACTGAGCCAAGCCCCCTAACTTGGGGCCAAGAGGCAGTTAGTATTTTATTTGGAGTTTTTAACTCTACAACTGCAGTTTAAAGTATTTGGAGAAAACTTAAAACAAATGATCTGCTGATGGCTAGAAGGCCAGTGCTTGGGAGGTCTAAGTGCCACGAGGCTGGATGAGGAGGATTTGCTGGTTTTGCTGGTGCCCCTGCCCCAGCATCTGTCTGGGAGTTGGGTGCATGCTATCTATGGGAAATTTCCCAGCCCCACCAGGCCTGTGGCAGGAGGGTGGGGTGGGGGGTGAAGGTATTTTTCTAGTTGTCTGCCTTGGCAGAATCTTGACCCAGGGAAAGGGAAGCAGGGTAGGAGTCATCCTGAGAAAGGTCTTTGTAGCCCATAAAGCAGGAGCTTAGCATAGGCCACATCTGCCCCAAGACAGAGAGCCCGTGGCCCAGGAGAGCCCTCAGGCTATGTGAGCTGAGCCTACCTGCTGGCAGAGCCCCAGGCTGGGAATGGGCTACAGGAGAGCCCAGGAAAGGACCATTGGGTGAAGAGTTCCCAAGCCCTTAACCGAGTCTACTTGCTCAGTGCCAGCCCTGCCTGTTGCTGTAGCCCAGAGGGTCCCTGCGGAGGGGCTAGGCTGTGCAGAGGGCCCAGAGTTGCACTGGGGTCAGCACAACTGTGGGGACGGAGCAGATCTTGGAGCTGGTCTGGGAACCATGATGGGCATGGAGTGATGTGGTGGGACACTCAGGCCTGGGTCATTTCCTAGCAGTGCCAGGAGTGGGCTCTGCTGTTCCCCGCTTTCTAATACCTCAGTCCTTGCTGGGGAAATCAAGCAGACCAGGATGCTTGTGCCCCAGGCCCATCTCTCCTCCTTTAACAGTCTCTTTAAGCTTGGGGTTGCAGTGATGGTCAGGCCTGTCACTTGTGGCAATTCATTAGGGCCCTGGCAAGGAAGAACCTAAGCAGCTGGGCCCAGCCACAGCCTGTCAGGCATGAGATATCTGGTGGAGAAATGAGGGGGTGTGGAGAGAAGTTGGCAGGGCTGGGGGAAGATTCTGGAGGTCAAGAAACAAGGAGGTGCGGGGCATTGGTGCAGTGTAGCCACTGAGGAGGGACAGAGCCAGAGAACTGGGGGGTGTATGTGAGAAAGGGTTGTGGGGGAGAGTTTTGGATCAGGCTGACTTGGAGAGTAGTGAGTCCCCTGTTGCAAAGACTAGATGGCTTCTTGTCAGAAAGGTGTAGAGGGGATTCAGGTCATGGAAGGGTAGTTGGGTGAGGTGACAATTAAGATTACTTTTATATTGAGGCTACAGTCTGCCAAAGGCAGATGTCAGAAGGCTTTAGAGGAGCTGCGGCCTGGATAAGGGAGGCTCAGAAGGGCTGTAAACTCAAATGCTTACGGGGCCAGCAGGTGATTAAAAGAAGGCTACAGGGCTGGGCGGGGACTATGGCAAACTGAAGAGGGCATTCCCTACTAAAGGGGCCACTGCTGCTTAGCTGTTCTAATAGAGGAAGCAAGCTTTGTGTTGCCAGAATGACTTTTCAGAGGCCAGAACTCTGAATTGTTATGTGAAAACTGATTTTTAAATGTTGGCAGTCAGTTCAAAAAATTTAAAACCCCGGTACAGATGAAAGAGAATGCCAGTTTGCAATCTCTGGAGTAGAGAGAGCTTGTGCTGGGAAGTCTACTGAGATGCTTTGAAGTGGGAAATATGAAAGTTCTAAGTTTCCCCAAGCGGGGCGGAGCTGGGGTGGATCCTTGTGGCTGGGGAGGAGGACAAATGCTGCTGAAGCTCTTCCCAGCGTGGGCACTGCCTGCTGGTCATCCTCATCACTCTCCCTGCAGACCAGAGACCAGCCAGAGACCCTCTGCAGTTGCTGGGTCACCAGAGAGGGTGGAATGGAATAGAAATAGTGCAGCTCTCAGCCTGCCAGGGAGCTGGGTGATGCCTGGAAGTAAAGAGGAAGGGAGGGAGTTGCTTTTGCTGATGAGGGTGCCCGTCAGGGAAGGCACCAGAGGCTCGCAGCTCTTCAAACCAGCAGCTCTTGGCCCAGAGCCAGGCCCAGTCGGGCCCAGCCAAAGGCACCCTGGGAGGCCAGCTGGTCAGTCTCTTGCCTCTCTGGGCTCCTCATGGGGTCAGTGGCCCTGGGGAGGTACTGACTTCATCCCTGCGTGCCAATCAGAGGGGCATGGGGACCCCTGGCCCACCGTCCCATCTCAGCTTTCAGGGAGTGAGGGTGGTGGTCTCCATGTTTTCATGATAGCTCAGCATGGAAAGCACGAGGCTGAAACAAGGTCCCTTGTGGCCCCAGAAGCCTCTGGGGAACTTCCGGGGAATGACAGACTCTGAGGGGAAGAGATGTGAGGGAGCTGGGAGCTGGAGTCAGGGAGATATGTTGGGAGCTGCTCAGGGTCAGTGGCCCTGGGGAGGTACTGACTTCATCCCTGCGTGCCAATCAGAGGGGCATGGGGACCCCTGGCCCACTGTCCCATCTCAGCTTTCAGGGAGTGAGGGTGGTGGTCTCCATGTTTTCATGATAGCTCAGCATGGAAAGCAAGAGGCTGAAACAAGGTCCCTTGTGGCCCCAGAAGCCTCTGGGGAACTTCCGGGGAATGACAGACTTTGAGGGGAAGAGATGTGAGGGAGCTGGGAGCTGGAGTCAGGGAGATATGTTGGGAGCTGCTCCTGGTTCTGGTGCCCTAGAAGGACGCTGTGACCCATAGGCTCCTTCCCTGGGACCGGAGCCCTGGGGAGGAGGGAGCAGAACGAAGCCCTACTCCCTGCTGTCTGCGAGGGAGGGTGCTGGTCCCCAGCTGGGAGTCCCCTGGCACTCACCCTTCCTGAGGTGAGACCTCGGGTCTGTGGCGTCCACCACGGGACATAGCGGTGCTTTTTAATTTATTTTAAACTGTTTCTCATATGTAGCAACCCCTCCTCCCCTCCTGGGTGTGTTTACAGAGGCTCTGCTCTGTGGGGCAGGCCTGGCTGCGAGGCTTCAGTGCAGGCAGAGAGGCAGGGGCTTTGGGGCCTTAGTCACCATCCATGGTATCACCCCATCTCACTTCCAGTGAGGGACAGGGGCCTGGCTGATGGGACTCAGCTCCCTGACTCAGGACTGCCTTCCAGCTCCTCCGCCCCCAGGGATGGGGCTGCTGGCTGAGGAGGGGACAAAGTAAGGTCAGAGAAAGCGCTTGGTAAGGTGTGCTGGAGCAGGGGGTGACTGCTGGGTCTCCCCAAAGCTTGGCTCCTTGTGCTCCGTGCGGGACAGGACACTGGGAAGCTGGGTTTAGAGCACCTTCCTATCCACCTAACTGCCAGGCCTCTCCCTCCATGGCCTTGCCACATTCTCACACTCCCCCCACCCATCATGCCAGCGGCCCCTGTCCTTACTCAGGCATGGCCAAGTGGGGAAAGAGCAGCCCACTGGCCTTGGGATGCAATGGTAAAGCCTGGGGCTGGGGTTGCAAGGGGCAGAAAGAGCCAAGAAGCTGATCACGTCTAATTCCAGGCCTTTCTGTCATGTCATGACCCTCCTCTTCCAGCTCAGAGTTGACTTCCCTGGGAGTTGGCCTAATTCCGGCAGGTAGAATCCCAGAGGCATGTGTGCATGTGTGTGCCTGGTTTTCCTGCCTGGAGTGTTTTCTGGCTTAGCTGCAGCAACATCCGCAGGCCCACCTTCCACACTGTGCCCTGGCCTCGGAGCGCAGGGATGTGCATGCGGCACCAATGTGTGGATGGTGTGAAGAGCAGGAAACAGTCTTCTGGAGGAGTGTGGGGGGAGGGGGAGAGTCTGCCAGGTCCCATCGCCTCCACCAGCTTCCCAGGCCAGGTAGGGCTGCTGTGGTGCTAGCTGTGTTCATCAGTGTTGACCCACTCACCCCCTCTTGGTGCTCCGGAGTCCCAAGTTCCCCTCTTTCTTCAAGTCTGGCAAGAGAGAAGAAACCTGGGCGTGCTTGGCCCGCGGGGCCTGGTGATGATGGGCCACCCCCTCCCTTCAGCTCTGTGTTTGGCTGCGTGATGTACTGACTTTGTTCTTCCTGTTCTCATATCAGTATCACCCCACACTTTCACTTTTACACTCCTCATTCCTGTTGTCACTTTTCCCCTGAAAGGAATAAAGTCTCCCCAGCTCTGATTGTATGGGCTGGGCAGAAACCACATGTAAGCTTTGTCTCCTTTCCTTTGGGAGCTGGGGCCAACCCCTACCAGTATTAGCCCTATTGGCTCCAGGAAGAACCTGAGCAGAAGTAAGGGGAGCATAAACCAGGGAGCAGGAAACCTCCCAGCCCCTGCGGTCACAATGAAACTTTTGGAGTCCAGGCCATTCAGTGTCTCGTTTACCCTAATCTGGGAGATCTTCCCTGCCGGCCATAAATGAGCCCCACACAGCAAGGCCCTGGAGGCCCAAGTCTGTTCCCAGGATGTGTTCCGGAGCCCTCCTCTTCCTGTCCTAGTCCACAGCAGTCCATCAAGAACAAAGGAAAAAGGGGGAGTGTTGTAGGGGATGAGCCTATTTCAGGAAACCATAGCAACAGGAATTTGAAGTCCCTTCTCATCACAATCGCCAATCCAGAATCCATGGTGGTTAAAGCCACAGCTTTGGAAAATACCTCCGGGTCC